AGGCTGATGTGGCCCCTGGTGAAAATGAGGTTGACACCTCTGGTCTAGAGTCCAAGTAAAATCGCGAGTACCTCTTTTTCTAGGCTGTTCAAAAGACACGGGAGTCCAGGCATAGACTAGTCTGTTTATTCCCCCCCTCAGTGAGGGACCAAGTTAAGCCAGGAACAACAAAGGTTACTCATTAGGCAGAATGCGTGTCCTGGCTGTCAGCAACTTGGGTGACAACTGGGCTGTGTTTCAAGAGCCCATCTGTAAATAATTCAGTGCTGTAAAAGGGCTAGTCAGCAGTGTTCCTGCTGTTTGGGTACGAATGAGAAACTGAGACCACCTTAGGAGACGTGATTTATTTTTTCAGTTCTTCTCGAGAAAGCTCTTCTGTGTTCCTTAGCTGCCTTTCTGAACCAGCTCCACTCGTAGCAGCTCTCTTTCCAGACCAAGCGCGTGCTGTTGCCCTGAGCACGCCCTGCAGGGAGGGGAGAAAGCAGACTGCACACAAGGGGAAGCACACAGCGACTGTCTTGACGAGACCAACAATCCTTGATGAATCCTGTTCCTCCCTCTCTCCACAGGTACCACAGCTCCCAGGATTCTCCTGGATCAAACCTTGTATCTCTTCCCCAAGTATTGTGTATATTGGTCTAAGAGATGTGGACCCTCCTGAACAGTAAGTTGACATGTAGGATTACACTTTGGACTTATCCCGGCCACTTATGTTCCATTTACCAGGTTGTTCCTTGCCTTAGTTTGTTGAAGATCAATATATGTGCATTTGATTTAAAATGCTGTTTAAACTAAGAATTCCTTCCTTTATATCTCATCACAGCTTTATTTTAAAGAATTATGATATCCAGTATTTTTCCATGAGAGACATAGACAGACTTGGTATACAGAAGGTCATGGAACAGACATTCGATCTGCTGATTGGCAAGTAAGTGACTCTAACAGATATTGTGTCTAGGTCCCCAGGGGGATAAAGCAGCTCCCAGTGGGCAGCATGCTTTAGCTTTTCTCTTGAGGACAGTAGCTCTCCTTTCAAATAAAAGCAAAATGTACAAATTAAAATTCAAATAATTTAGAAAGGGAAAATATAAAACATGTAAGTCCTATTCTTCCTCAGGTTGGGAGGGAGTTTCCCAGAATTCATTGCCCAGATCCTCCCTCTCTCATGAGTTTCTCTTTAGTTCCATTTTTAATGCTTGTCTTTTGAGATGAGAAGCATCCATTGTTCCAACTGTCCCATTCTTCCAAGCCTCACTATTTCTTCATCTGAAAGCAGGCTGCAGTTCTGTATTAAGCAAAACTTGGTAGTAGATAAAGATAGCAGAGGAATGCTAATCAAATGCTAGTTTTAAGAGCATTCTCCCAGTGCTGAATCTGTATTCCTGGATGACCAATGTAATTAACTGCCACCTGTTTAAAAATTTAGTTATTTAGCATATACCATATTTTTTGGACTATAAGACACACCAGACCATAAGACACACCTAGGTTTTAGAGGAGGAAAATAGGAAAAAAAATTTTTTGAAGCAAAAAATGTGGTGGAATATTTAATAACCTGTGACCCTACTCCACTGCCCTCGTCCCAGCAAGCCAAGTAAGCTCCATTCAGACTGTAAGTTGAGCCCCCATTTCCTCCCAAATTGGGGAGTGCATCTTATAGTCTGAAAAATACGGTAGGTGTTGTATGTTAATTTCAGCCACTGGACATCACGGCTAAACTGAAATTAGAACTGGGAGATGGTAGGGCTGTAGACATAAGATCGAAGTTCGGCTGCCGTTACACTCTGAGGAATAAAAGCAACTGTAATTAGCTAATGAAGTTAGAGTCTATCAGAGCCCAAGGTCATATGGAAGTGAGAGGCTTTAATGCTCAGGGTAAGTCAGAAATATAAACTGGAATTAGACTAAGGCACATAGAACAAATGGTAAAATTATGAAATGGCATGTAAAAGCTAAATGCAAACACTCAGTAACTTCTAAAATGGGAAACCTGGAGCTCCGCTGTACTAACAAAGTACCGAAACTAACAGCAACAAAATCGAAGAGCTGCATCTGTAGGAAGCATAAAGGTTCAGGCACAACCAAATGACTATCCTCTTATCATTCTCTTCGCAAGACGACAAAGGCCAATCCATCTGAGTTTTGACATCGATGCATTTGACCCGACACTGGCTCCAGCCACAGGAACCCCTGTTGTAGGGGGACTGACCTATCGAGAAGGCATGTATATTACTGAGGAAATACACAATACAGGTAAGTGATCAATCTGTTTACGACATAAGTAAATACGCTGAAGCCTCCTATCTGCCAGGGGCATCTTTTCTACCACGTCACTGTAGACATTGTTTTGCTTAAACTTGTTACAGCTAAAAGTCATGTGGTCAAACTAAGGGACAGTCACCTAGAGGCATGTTTGGATCTCATACCAAAATAAGGTAATATGATATTGAGTAAAAGGTTGTTTATGTCTTCTGAAACACTTATTAAATACAAGAATAACCTGCCAAACTAATGTAGTTCTTTGCATCTGAACTGTCTAAAGGCAGATTAAGATTAAAAGGCAAGGCCAGCTGCAGTTTTTACCTTAAATTAAGAGGTTGGTTTACTGGGAGTTGGGAAGGTGGAATTGAAGCTTCTCTGGAAGCTATTTCAATGCTGCAGTACCTTGGGTCCTTTCGTGTAGGATAAGCTTATCCTGGAGCTTGTTAACAGGAGATGTGAATGAAAGGCTGACAGATTAATAAAATGAATGTTAGACTGATTATCAAGAGTGGCTACTAAGGGGTTACTGTCCCAAAACTCATACTTGCTTGCAAACAGTTTCCATTTCTGTCAGAAAGCTTCTAGTTTTAAGGTTACTTTAAATGATCTTTAATTATAAAATTTAAACTACCACATGACATCAATACCATCTCATGAAATAAGGATCTTTTAGCATAGAGACCCCAGACTGCGAGGTCCGGGACTACAGGAAACCCTTGAATATTTAGGACAGACATGGAACTTAAGGAATGGTTTTCTGGCTCTGGAACCGACTGGACTCCTAGGCACTACAGAAAGGAAAGGAATGCTGGTCTACCAGATCTGACAGTGGCCAAGTAGTCTCGTTCTCAGAGTCACATTCTCAGATTTTGGCTAACTGTCCTTGGGTTAGTGGCCCGTTAACCTGGGAGTTCAATCCTCCATTCTGGTTCCCAGCGGCACCACTGGAACCAGGGGTTAGACACCTCTGGCCTTAGATGGAGCAGTGGTCACACCTTGTGCCCCTCTCTCCTGCTGTGGTATTACTCTGTCCTACAAGACTGTCTATCATGACACTGTCAACTAGATACATAAAACAGTTTATTGCCACCCTATCAATTAGTTTAAACAATCTGGAAACATGGGTAATATATATTTTAAATAGCTCGAACCTTCTTGATTACTTCTAAGCTATGCCCAAGGCCCAGTGTTCGTCATTGGGATTCAGACACCCACATTATCAGAGACGCAGAGGACGTGTGCAGGAACTGTTGGAAACGCTAAAGTAATGTGCCTGTTCACATTCTGCACAGTGCGCTGAACTATGCCCTGCTAACGAGGGACAGCACACGGAACAGATGTGATGGCAACGAGCATGTCGTGTACTGTCATGCCATGTCAGTAAACCACTGGGCATATTCACTTCACCCAGGTGCCCAGGCTTTAGGCCACCCTAAATGTTCTCAGACACAGCCTTGTACTCTCGTACCAGTTTGTTCAGGTCACTCTTGAAGAGGTAGATTAACTTCACTCAGGATAGCCAACTAGAAAGTTCACTACCCCAGAGAAGTGGGGAGCAGGGGCTGGGAGAGAGAGAAGGCAGGTCTGGATAAGGTTCTTTTGGTCTAATCTTCCCTTCTCAAACCCTCTGGCACAAACTCTCAAATGCTCAGAGATGGTAACTGGAGTCCACATTAAAGTATAGACCAGTCTTCCCTTGACCAAGTACGAGACACTGGGTCATTCTGACGGGAGACCTAAAAACAGCGTCAGCCGTGGAACCGCACGCAGAGCTCGGACCTGCGCGGGAGACAGTAAGACGTGCAGTTGTAACTGTACTTCAGGGCATGTGCTGCTTTAGGAGATGCAGATATGGCATCAGAGTTCGAAAGTGGGAACAGAGTTCTGGCAAGTGAGAGGTGAGAGTTCCCTTCACACAGCTACATGCAGGCAGGCATCTGGAAGGTTCCTTAATGCTGGAAATGCACATATTTCCCCAACAAGCAGGCTGGCAACTCCTTTCCCAACCAACCCCCGGGCTCATTCTTCCTTCTCTCCAGAAAGCCTGACAGCTGTGCCTTGTATGTTAGTTGAACTGGGATGATTGATTTCATTACCTTAGAGGTTTCTTTCAATCCTACTCTAATATAGCAATGTTTAATAAATTCATGCCTAAGAGGATGAGGTATAAGGGGCTTCCTGACCATGGTTAATTTTATAGTAGAAAATGACTTTTTTTTTTTAACCTTGGCTTACTCTGCCCTCACTGCAAGCGGCAGCTAGGACTTTCCTGAGGTTTCGTCCCACTTCGTTCTTGCAGGGCTGCTGTCAGCGCTGGACCTTGTGGAAGTCAATCCTCGGCTGGCTGCGTCAGAGGAAGAAGCCAAGGCTACGGCTGGCCTGGCGGTGGATGTGATTGCCTCGAGTTTCGGTCAGACGAGGGAGGGCGGGCACAACGTCTACGACCAACTGCCTACTCCCAGTTCCCCACACGAATCGGAAAGTGAAGAACGTGTGAGGATTTAGAGCGTACTGTATGCTGACACACGTCTGTCACGTCGGGCATTCCAGAGTTGTGCGGTGTTTGAGGGGACAGGTACTACATGGTCATCTGGGTCAATACTGCCTTAATGAGAACATTTGCGTATTCTCACAACTGCAAAGTTTCCTCCTCCGTTTTGGTGACCAATAATTATACTGTAAATGTATTTGATTTTTTGCAGTTCGCAAGGTGTTAACATGTTAAAGGATTACGTACATTTAAAGAAGTCATAAACAGCATTTATTACCTTGGTATATCACACGGGTCTCGCTGCAGTTCCTTCACATTTAACTGGTTGTCCGTCTTCCCTCCCTCTTCCCACAGTCTGGCTATACAGTGTGTCCTTGAACCGTCAGCTCATAGCAGCAATATGCTCATTCCACATCTTTAACACCCTCCATTCACAAGCTCAAAGTTCTGGTCCACAAACCCTTCCTTGCAGGAAGTTCAATGCTTCCGAAAGAATTTGTAATAAACCAAGCCTCCCAGGATGGCTAGCTCCAGTAAGATGACGATGGAAAGTAGCAGCTTGTTGGTTGTCACTCTACAAACAGAAGCAAAGTGAGTAATCTGAGTCTGGATGACCTTATTTCTTTCTACTCTTGATACACAGAGGTCCGACTTAGGGACAAGGCTAGGTAATGTGAGGCAGGCTGAATTTCTGTTTGGCCTCATGGCCACTCAGCACAAAGTATATATAGGCATACCTCAGAGATACTGTAGGTCTCGTTCCAGACCACTGCGATAACGCAAATAGAGCAACAAAGCCGGTCACGTGAATTTTTTGTACCCCAGTGCATACAAGTTATGTTTACAGTAGACTGTAGTCTATTAAGTATACAATAGCATTATGTCTAAAAAAACAATGCATACCTCAATTTAAAAATACTTTATTGCTAAAAATGCTAACCATCATCTGAGCTTACTGGGAAAAAAGGCACTGACAGATTGCTTGACACAAACCTTCAATTCGTAAAAACACTATATTTGCAAAGCACAGTAATTAAAAGTATGCCTGTATAAGGTTCCTTAGCTGTTAACAGGGAAAACACTATCTACCTCACAGAAATGGTGAAAACTGGGACAATATACACCAAGGGATAAAAATATTTTTTTAAATTTTATTTTAAAATGTATTCAAATAGTAGCTACTTCCTTACTTTAAAACTAGCTTTTTTAGGAGGGTCTAGTTAGAAAAAAATACTATTAAATATGATGTGAAAAAATATACCATTTCCTGAAAGCAGGTTGAATCCTATAGCAAAACAGCAGTAACTACTCAGTACCCTTATGTAACGACACAGCCGCATCAGTCACACACTGCAGCTGGGAGACATGCTGGCGGCAGACGCGCCAGTGCAGACATCCAGCTGCGGGGGGAGGGTCCTGAGTAACCACGAGCTGGGTAGCTCTACAAAGGTAACATGGGAGTGTCACAAAAAATTTACTCTTGCTAATAAAAAAGTATCCCCTCTGTGGTTCTCCTGTTCCCTCTAAACTAAAGGTTTCCCCCATTCCACAAGGAATGTATGCTGTTTCGGGAAATCTCAGTCTCCTGCTAGTTCCACGGCTCAGCTGTGGTTTTGTTTCACATACACTATCACTTACCCCAAATTCATCCCCGGTGACAATGCTTCCCGATTTTGCCCCTAATTTTGTTGCTGTCAGCACTTAATCAAGGGGTTTTTTTGGTTGCCGCTGTTGTTTTAGAGTTAACTTCTTGGTAACAAGAGAGCACTCGCAGGTAACGGGTTGACTCCCATGAAGAGCAAGCAGAGCCAAAAGCAAGTACTAAGCAGTAGCGGTGAGGAGTTTTCTACTCAAGCTTTTACAAATGTGAAACTCTTATCACTCCCGTGTGCTGCCTTCCTTAAGGAATGTAAGCTGGAAGTAAAATGCTTCCAGTGGACACATTTTACACTGCTCCAAGTCAGAGCAGTATGTACTTCTAACAAAAGGTTTTGTCTTACACAAGACAACATTCTTTATGTCTTCAGCTTTATTAGGATCTTTGTAAGTCACAATTAAAGCTTTGACATTCTTGGTTGAAAGACATTAGTGTAAAGAAAAATTAATTTTGTGACTATTTTTAAAACTTACTTTCTGGACATGGACCGGAGTATCTTTCGGCTTTTGCTCAGGTTTTCACTTGTGTTTACCAGCTGAGAAGAGAAAATAGCAATTATTTCCCCCTTCTTTCAAAAGTACATATGCTAGAATTGGAACATTCCTAAACTGACAATGGGCATTGGGGTATATGTTGAAATCAAGCCAATTTAAATGGTGGGCTCAGAGTACAATTAGAAGAGATGGGAGAGAACAAGATACTTCAGTACTTGTCAAGTAGGCTTAGGAATTATTACATCCAAGGCTGCTGTGAGGGACCTCCGGGACAGACAGAGCTAGTCCTTAGCTCCTCAAACAGAGGAGCTTCAAGGGCACCTTGCCAGTAACCATGAAGCAACTTTGGAATTGAATTTCATCAGCCAAACTCCAGGAGAGCCTCTTGAGTTACAGTTTGTTTTTGCAGGCGGGTGGATTACCACTCTTGGGATACGGTTATTTTTTCTTCACTCCCTTAAGAGATACTTACATTGAATTGTGAAAGGAATTAATCTTTTTAAAGCCTTTTCTTTTTAACCTGTCGCTTTTGACTGCCTGTTGCTCATTTAGATAGCTGGAGGGTATGTCAACAGTTGGCACCCGCAGTCTGCTCCCAATCCCTGGCAGCCTCAGTAAGTCGATCTCTCAGATCATCCCTGACTTTAAATTCAGCCAGCCCACCTCATGTTCAAAAGCCAAAAACCAAACAATCTGTAAGTTGCCTTCTCTGTAGTTTACCTTAAATTCAGTGCTTTATTGTGAATTTTTACTGAAAGAAGGGCATCATCTGATTTAAGAATGGAGAATTACAGCTATTAAGATAAGAGAAAACCATCCCAAACTCCCATACTGAACTAGAATTTTCCCAAGTCTTGCCCACAGTATGTTTTTCAGTCTGGATTCACTATTAAGAACACAGCAGTCCATTGGCAAGTTGTACTATTTTCAGAATTTCTGTGCAGGTGTATGGAAAGGAAGGAATAAGTTTTTTCAGAGCCTCTTAAAGTGACAGATTAGAGGCCCCAATAGAGCCATCACGGCCCTATTTCCATTTTCTCCCCACAATGACCCAGCTTATCTTAAGTAACAGTGAGGAGTTATAGTCCAGGACTGAACCTCTATAGATCGTCAGTGGTGCTATTTTGTGACATGTGGAAATAGTCTTCTCTCTAAATGACAGGAAAGTTAGGATCTTTTTGGTAGATGATGCTTTCATAGGGAGCGCAGAACATTCCACCAGATATAAAAGAAATACAAATCTCAGACTGGTAATACAACAAGAAAAGGATGGAGTGGCTGCAATTTTATGTTTATTTGACGATCTTTAATAAATGCAGAAATCGAGTTTCTTCAATCTTTTTTTCCCCCCTTCCAATGATCTCTAAATCTAAATCTCTAAATTTTAAGGGTAAAATTATTCTAGAGATCTCTCAGGATGCAAACTAAAAACTTAGAAAAGCGTGAGAACCTAACAGGCCATATACCCCGATTTCAGAACTGCTGCAGCAAGGCCCACCTACTCGGCCCACTCTTGTCCCTTTCCCGGTCTGCCCGGACTTACTCTGTTCTTGGTACGTTCCAACTGCTCACGTTGCTCCCCCAGCTCTTCTATGATTTCTGAGCCAATCTGGTCAGTCTCTGTGGCAATCCGATGAGAACGCTCAATACTCTGGGTGGCCCGGTTCAGGCTCTCAGTGCCTTGCAAAAGCAACACCCGTTGAGACTGTAGCTGATTCTGGTGGGATTATGAAAGGGAAATGTTAGACTTCTTCCATATTCTTTGTCAGCACAATCCTTACCACTGCTCTTATGGAAGAAGGGATATGGGGTGCAAGAGTTTTCATTAAGACAACCAAAGATGCTCATGAACTATAAGATCCTGTTTAAGGTCAGACTAAAGCAGAACTTGAAATTCATTACAGGATTCACCATACCTCCCACTCCAATGCTTGTTACCTTAAGGCAAAGTAAAAAGGATTAAAAATATCAGAGCATTTTCCTGTGTTTGTAATGAATTTGAACTGTTTATGTGCTTGTCAGACTAGCAACTTCTGAGAGGCAGTGGCCCAGTTTTGGGGTGCAGGAACTACCTGAAAATGCATATAGCCTGTAGCTTGATGGGCAGCAACCAAACCAACTAAGCTCTACAGCCCTAGGACAGACTAATTCACTGAAAATTCCTACCTGATTGGCACTGGGGACTGAGGGACCTTGAATGAGCTATTCATTTTCAGTACATATAGAAATCAATTAGAAGTCTGGGTGCAACACTGCCACATTCTGGAAAAAAGGGGCCACAGTACTGGTAAGCCCCAAAAGAATTTCACTTCAGGCCTAACAGAAAACAAAACTTCTGAAGCTGCCCCACTGGTGATCTACTCTCAGGGAAGGAGGCATATGGAGCCAATAAGGTGCTCTGCCTGCCCCAATTTTCTAAATACCCACGAAGTCTCACTCCGCCTATAGTCCTGAGGACAGAAGTGGCCTTTGTCAGGCCAGCATTTACCACTGACAGAAATGAGGGCAGCTCTAAGGTCTTAGCTATTCGAAACACACACACACAAAGGGGCAGTTCGCAGGCCCTATTACTCGAAGCACCAGACACCACCATCAAGCCAAAAATGGATTCCCAGATCAGAAGTAACAGAAGTCTTCATGTATGGTACAGAGACCAGTGGATAAGGAAACTACCGAATAAAGTTGAACTAAATCCCAGTTACCGCTTAAAAGAAGCAGGAATAAGGCTTTTTAAAAATAAAAGATGGAGTTTTTCAATTGATCAGGTTGAGAAAGAATAGGGAAAAAATGATAAGATCACATAAATCAACCCCAGATTTATAACAATTCTACTGAAAGTGGTATATATATTTAAATTGTTTTTATAACTTCTGAAACTAATGATTTTATTTTTTAAAAGATTTTTATTTTTAGCCCTGGCTGGCGTAGCTCAGTGGACTGAGCGCGGGCTGGGAACTAAAGTGTCCCAGGTTCGATTCCCAGCCAGGGTACATTCCTGGGTTGCAGGCCATAACCCCCAGCAACCGCACATTGATGTCTGTCTGTCTGTCTGTCTGTCTCTCTCTCCCTCCCCCCCTTCCCTCTCTAAAAATAAATAAATAAAATCTTAAAAAAAAAAAAAGATTTTTATTTTTAGAGAGAGGGGAGAGGAGGGAAACATCAGTGTGTGGTTGCCTCTCACGTGCCCCCAACTGGGGACCCGGCCCACAACCCAGGCATGTGCCCTGATTGGAATCCAACCAGCAACCTTTTGGCCCACAGGCTGGCACTGTATCCACTGAGCCACACCAGCCAGGGCTTAAACTAATAATTTTAAAGCAAAATTATTCCTTGGACTTACTCCCCCTTTTGTTGTTTTGGGTCTTTTGGAGGGAGTAAATGACCAAAGCACTTTACACCTCTCGTCTCACTTTAACAAGCTCCACCTGCCTGCCTTTTCCCAGTCCCTCCTTCCGCAAATGAACTGGGAAAACTTCACACCGTTCTCACACACTCTAGTTCTGACACCAGCAATGTCAGGCCAGCGGCACTTGCATGTCTCTTCCACTACAGTCAGGATGTGTCATGAAATGCGATTTGTTTATTTAAAATGGTCCCACCAGCCCTCTGCATACGTGCAGTCTGCACTTCCATTTCTCTCTCACACCACTTGCCAGGCCATTTCTACTTTGCACTACGGGATATAATCCCAAATGCAACATATTCAATTTAAGCTTTCTGAAGTGTGACTTCTTTAATTCTCTAGCTTCTCTAGATAGTTTCAGAATATAGATTTTCGATCTAGTCAGTTAGATCTAGTCAGTCTAACTATAAATCAGAATACTGGAGACTAGAGAAGCAACCTGTGGCTCACTTTCTATTATGACATTGTAAGCATTAGCCCCTTCTTAGGAAGGATCTGGCCTTCCCTACTGTATCTGGGCTATTGAGCAATCTTGATATAAATGTAAAAGAAAGCTTGGATTAATTTTGTAACAACACTCTGATAAGTTAAAACCCTAACTGAATTTTTTGGGCACGTGTGGGAAGGAAACTGGATCAGTGGGTGAGGACACGGAGTTCAGATACAGTGAGATTAGCTAGCACCTGTATACCACCACTACACACTAAGCACTGCTTTATATATAAAGGACACAAAAGATGTAAGCAAGCATATGGTTTGGAAAGATCTGCGTATAATCCAGCAGGGGTCAGCGCTCCCCCTCTTGGGACCATGCCCATGCCTTTCCCTTCTCCCTCTCCTTCCCCGCAGGCACATTACCTTCCCCGTCCCCTCTCCTAAGCTCCAAGGGCCCTTCTTCTGCCTCCGTAACTTGTTTCCGGAGCCTCCACAGCCCAGCTGGCTCACTTCTACCACCTCTGTAACTTTCTAAACTTTCTCATAATTTGAAAAACAAACAAAACAGCAGGGGTAAATATCCTAGGGGAGAAGGGAACTGGATGCAGGAAAGAGGATAAGGCGGGAAAAACAAGAGTGTGGTATACACTGTAACATGAACTACGTACTCCTCAATATGGTTAATTCTTGTACTACAGGCCCGAAAAGGGGGGTGGGGGGGGGGGACAGCCGACGCTTACCATGTGCTCATTCTCTACAGCGTAGGTGCCATATTTCATGTCTCCCCGGCCCCCAGGTGTGGCTGTCAGAGGGGTGCTTCTCACTTCTCGGTGGAGTTTGGCAAGGTCCTTCCGGTAGGTTCGAAGCTTAGACATCATAGGGTTACGGAAAGATAGGGGTGCATATCGCAGTTCCTCTTCCATCTCTGCCAGCTGGGAAGATGAAACAGTGAGTAGACGGCCTGGTTCTTTTCTGCCTCATCTGGGCATAGTCAGACCATATGTGGTTGGACTAATTAGACCACAGACAACCCCAACTACTACTCAACCACATGCTTCACAAAGGCAGCGACCACATGTAACATGTTCACTCCATTACTCTGATGTCTGCACAGTGCCAAGCAAGCATAGAACAGGCTTCCAGAAAGTATGTGATGAATGAGTGAAAAAGCTAACAAGTACCTTATAGTTTATTATTACACATTTTTTATAGCATTAACTTAATCCTCACAGCAAATCAACAAGGTAGGAAATACTATTTCTTTTTCATACATAAGACTTGATGAAAACTGCTCAAGATTATACAATAGGAGAAATCAGGATTACAAATCTTCATATTCTCTTTTCAGTATACCAAGTTCTTAGCCTGTCAGGGTTCAAGGAAGCACATTCAGGTCTGCTGTATTAAAATGGTAAGGGTCTGGCATCAAGGTCCTCCCATTCCTCCTCCTCTTTCTGAAAATCAATTGTCTCCATGTCAGATTTCCATTTTTCTGGGATAAGTGAAATATAAACATGAACATGTTCACAAGAGGCCATACATTATTTTCATCTGCCTGGGGTGGGCAGGGTAGCACTGGTTACTTTTGCGAACTTCAGAGAAAGAAGGTAAGCACCAAACGGGTGCTAGCTAAAAGATTTTAAAGATGCTACTAAGATGTTAACCAAAAAAGAACACCAGTCTGCAATAGGTATCATGGGTATGGCAGCTGTACACAAGCACTAAGAGAAGCTTCTAGTGTTGCCATCATGAAGGAGATAGTTTCCGCAGTCCAGTGGTCTGATCCTTCTTAAAACTGATGCACACCAGAGGAAAGGATGCAGATAAGCTTAACTTCTCAGACAGAATAGGCAAGTTGTTCTTCAACAAGCAAGAAGGAACCTCTCTCGCTTAAAAGGAATTTTTCTCCTTAATCTATGCCGGGGAAGCAAAAACTAAGGGCAACTATTTTTCTAGAGTACTATGAGGGAGCTGGATTTTAGCCCCAAATTCCTGAAGGGTTTGCTGAAGCTAGAGCATAGTGGGCACACTAATAGGTAAAAGCAGGTTTTTTTGTTTGTCTTGCTTTTGTCACAGATTATGCTCAGCAACCTGGACCAACTTCTGCCAGTTTTGGGTTCTGGGTTCTGCTTGGGAACTCATCCTGCCCACGCATGTCAAGATACCAGATCCAGCCACTACACTGTCTTTTAAAACAGCAGGGAATGTGGCTTAGAGCCACCTCTGAGCTACATTTTCTGTGACAGTAAGTTTAAGAAGGAAGAATAACTGATCCAAATAGCCAGCTTTTAAATGAGATTTTAAAAGACCACCCAGGTTAAGGTATGAGAATGCCCTTCACAAATCACATCAGGAATGTGGTATCAAAGCCTCATTTCAGGAGAGGCTTCAAGCTTTACCCATTTGTTTTGTTAACCCCCACCCCCACCACCGATCCCCCCAAACTGGCCTCATTTAGTCAGAAATAATCAGAGTCGGGAATAGGCAGGAAGAGTTAACCTGTGATCAGATCACAGCATTACTTTTGGAGAAGACGAACATCAGGCAGAAGTAAGGCCCTGCTCCCTGTTCTCACCGTCTCATTGGCTTCCTGTTGCTTTTCATCGAAATCTCTGATCAATTTCTTCTTCTCTTCTGGAAAAGATAAGACAAGTTTCAAATGCTTAGTCCTGCTTCCTAACATTTCTATAGCCTATTCCCTCTGTGTAGAATACACTCCCCATTCCTCTCCCATTGGGGGCAGCTGTGCTTAATCACTCCTAAAAGGCACTTAGAAATGTACAGGAACTTGTTATCACCACGACTGGAGGAAGGGGAGAGGGGGGGTATTGCTACTGGCACTTAGTACCCAGGGAACAAGATTATCCATGGGTATTGACTGTCCTGTGTAACAATAATCTGGCCCTGAAGGGCAATAGTGTTCCTACTAAGAAACACTTCAGGTCTAAGTTAAGCACTGCCAATCTTTCCCTCACAATCCTAACAGAGAGACCAAGCACATCAATAGAACGTTTAACAACACTGGTTTCTGAAATCCTGGTCTCCACTTTCACCCACAATATGAATCACTTCTCTATTTAGCCCGTATTCATTGCTTTTCTGCAAAACAAATTCAAAGCCCACCTACTCTGCTTGCTGGAGAAGCTACATGGTGAGGCAGGTGTCTCTGCCACACCCACTGGTGGTGCTATGGCATTGACTCATAGTGAGAAAGTCACTCTCCTTTTGATTCTCTTTCAATCCTTTATATCATGTCCTCTTGGTGCTAATATGTCTTTAATGCTTAAAAGTTACTACCGTGCCCTCTTCAACAAAAATCGAAAAGGCTTCAGCTTCAAAGCAATTAACATCAAACTAAAACAGCACTGTTTTGCCTTCCTTGTTTTTTCTTTCTGATCATTTACATACGTTCTGCAGATCTTCCACTGAAAGTAGTGATACAGCCCTGACTGGTGTGGCTCAGTGGGCTGTGTCACTCCGAGGACCTAAAGGTCGGAAGTTTGCTGCTTCGATTCCCAGTCAGTCAGGGCACGTGCCTGGGTTGCAGACCAGGTCCCCAGTTTGGGAGTGTGCGAGAGGCAACCAATCAATGTTTCTCTCCCTCTCTTTCTCCCTCCTTTCCCCTCTCTCTAAAAATAAATAAAAAATCTTTAAAGCAGTGATACAAAAGTCTTTTAAATAACTTCATGTATTCATTAAATGCATTTTACATGAAGTCAGCTGATACAAGGAAAACAAGTAATAGTGAAAATGGTACTCAGACGTGGCAACAACGATGCAGGGCGTCCCGGCACGTGGCCACCCGGCAAACCCTGTACAGGGGATAACTGCTGGCGAGTAAAGGGGACTAAGTCCTGGACCCAGCTCTGGGAGTGACCTACTGTGTATGCTTGGACAATTCTCCATCTCTGTGAGACCCGACTTTCTTTGGCTATAAAGTGAGGTAGGTCTTCCCTTCACATCTAACAAGCAAAAACTAGCCCTATTTATGAGAAGCTGGATTTTTAAAAATGCATACATTCAAATGAACGTTCTCCCAGAAATCTACACATACCATATTTTTCTGACTACAAGATGCAGCCCCCCAAATTTGGGAGGAAAATGGGGGTGCATCTTATAGTCTGAAGGTAGCTTACCTGGCTCACTGAGGGGGCGGGGGGTGGCCTATGTTATTTACGTTAATAGATATTTTACCACATTTTTTGCTTCAAATCCCTGCCCGCCCCCCCCCCCACCCCCGTTTTCCTCCTCTAAAACCTAGGTGCATCTTATGGTCCGGTGCGTCTTATAGTCTAAAAAAAATTGGTAATCTACTTATTACCACAAAGTTACTGTTGCTTACAATGTTTTTTGAACTGATCTTTTGGAATTACCTTCACAATTTGGGGACGGTCTTATTTTTAATTGTGGAGAGGGATATATGTGTACATGTATACATATATATACACACAAAATTTATCATTTTGACTGTTTTTAAGTGTACAGTGAAGTGGCATTAAATGCATTCACACTGTTATACAACCATCACACTATCCCAGAACCTTTTCATTATCCCAAATGAAACTCCAGAATCATTTACACACTAGCTCCCCATCCCCTCAACCCCAGACTCCCTTCTACTTTCTGTGTCTATGAGTTACACTACTCCAGGCACCTCGTATTAAGAGGAACCACACAACATTGGTCCTTTTGTGTCTGGATTATTTCACTTGGTATCATGTCTTAAAGTTCATCCACGTTGTAGCAAGTACAGGGCCACAGTCTTTTAAAGCGATGTATTTTTCATCCACTGTGACTCCTAAATACAAGCCAGCACTTCCATCCATTGAAGAGCGAGCAATCTTTACTGATGCCAAAGAGAACAGCTGAGTTGGGCTTACGGAGGGATGGGATGTGGCTACTCAGTATGCTGCCCTAAAATTTTCCTGGATAGTTTTGTTTACCCTGACTTTCCCCTTGAGCCTGGATTTTCAAACCCAATCCAATAAAAGATGTAATATCACCATTGTGTTTTATATGGCTTTACACTTATGTTAATCACAATAGCATCTAGCATGTCAGTTGTCTGCTGCTTTTTAAGCAATTATAAATTATTTTGGATGTGTACATTCTAATATATTCTCAACTTGAGATCCAGCTCCTCCAGAACGAGGAAGTTTTCCTTTTCTTTTATAGGTCTCACAATTTCTAGAACCTTAAAACTGACAATGAACTCCTTATTATGCCTCACGTGACATCCTTTTAATATACACAAAGCACTCCAGGTGAACTATTTCTTACCCCACAACACTCGCAAAAACCAGGGTCTGCTGTTTAAAAAAAGAAAGAAAAAGAAATTCAGCTATGGCAAATGGCGTGCACCTTGACCATCCCGATGAAAGAAGCACCAAAGCAGCCATTATAATCCCCAAGTGGGCTGTGTTTCCAGCCACTGGCAGTGAAATAATGCCTGCAATCAAGAATGGCTACTTCCATGGAAGAGTATTATATTATCTTGTCACAAAAGTGCTGAGCGTCACCACTCCTCTGAATGGGCCCATCTCCAAACTCCTTCCCTCCTTCCTGACCCAAACCCGGCAGTATGAAGTAGTCTATATACAAGTGCATTCCCTTCCTTGCTCCGATTTTTCTACAACTCTGTTAGTTATAAAGTCCCTTTCTACACTCCTCCTTTGCTAAAGGATATGAAAATCTGCATTCTCAAGGGGCAAATTCCAGAATGATTCAAAGAGAAGAACTACATAAAAATAAGAGTAGGGAGGAAAGCGGTAACCCACAGAATCTTGACTCTAACTTCTCTACATGATTCAGTTATTCTCGGTCTTTTTGGAGTTGGAATACTCCACTCTCTACCTGATTTCATAAGATATACATTCTCCTAGGAGCGTTGTACAGATTATATACTTTTAAAAGAAATATACTCACTTCACCACATGAGATCCTTTTTGTAACCCTAAGATTTTTTATTAAAGCTTTGAAATCATCCCTTCTGATGATGAAGTCAGGGAGGCAGATACTTAGGGGTTGGAAAGAGCCCGAACTCTGCGCAGCTGAGCAGTGTCAGCAGTGCTTCTTCACCCTGCAGTCGCAGGACTGTGGAATCAGTGAATGTTAGGCTGAGGCGGACCTCAGAGACCATCCGTCTGGTCTAACCTCATTCACAGCTGTGGAACTGGAGCCTGGAGAAACTGCCTTCCCCAGGCTCACAGGAGGCGTATGCAAGCCTCCTGACTTCCATTCTAATGCTTCTGTACTTCATAGCACGGCCCAACATTTTTGTGCCCCCAGGGTACAGCCTTTAGCAATGGGTAAAATCTGTTCGCCTCACGTCTTCCTAAGCCACCACATGGGAGTTATGCACTGGAGACTGGTTCTGTTTGATCAACTGGGTGGATGGCAGCACCATGTCCCGGACAAGGACCACAACACAAGCAGTCAGCTCTGAGACACAGCTAGAGGAAGCCTGCCTTAACGTTCAACAGGGTGACACCCTCTCTTCCTCACAGGAGGTCTGAATTAGCAGATCCAGAATTTTGGTCCATTAGAGCTGTGGAAATAACCTGGGTTTCACCAGGACCTTTAAAATAGTGACTAATTTGCTTTTGGCGCCCCACTGTGGCATTTCTAAGACCTACATCCTCTATTTGTAGACTACTGTGATTTACCTAATCATACACCACCTAGAATTTCAAAGCATCAGATCCCTCTAAGCCTATTTTCTCATGTGCAAATAGGAAATATAAAAGTGCTCACCTCGTAGGGTAGTCTGAAAGGGTTATAAGAGAGAATAAATATAAAAAATACTTGGCAAATGCCAGGTGTATTAAGGGTTCAATAAATAGCAACTACCATTGTTTTTTAAAGTAAATCCTAAAGAAGGAAGAACTAAGAGAAAAAATAAAATTCACTAAACAATATGAAGAGTGTTGCAAAAATTAAAATTCTGCAATCAGTGAGTAACTGGCATTTACTAACCCGCTGCATAAGGTCCTCCACAGTGATTATTTTTTTTGGTTTCCAAAATAATGAGGTCTCACATAGACATATTGTGAATTGAAATGAAAAACTTTCAATAATCTTACAACACTCAGTAAGACATGTGGAGAAATGCCTTATCGTGCTACAAAAATCATGACTACAGTCACTTACTGTATTAATTGCGTAAGAATTTATAGTGCTCTGAGGTATTTGGAGAGAACTTTTCAGATGCTGCAAAACTAAGACTAGAAACTATAGCTGCTTGTAACAATATTAATATAATATTAAAGAGTAATAATTATCACATATAACAATAAATTGCCACTGTCATATAAACTTGCTAAAGTAGGACACATGGTGTCTGCTATCCTTTGTTTTAATAAGTATGTATACATCCATTTTAAAAGTGATGAAAATATGGAAGATGGTCCTTTCAATACCCAATCACATATTATTTTCTTCCTAACAATCCACAGTATTTATACAATCATTTGGCAAATATTTATGGAACACCTAGTATGTACTAGGCACTGTTCTAGGAGCCTAGGATACATAATAAACAAAACAAAATATATAACTTATGACAGAGGAGGAAGGAACATTTCAGCTGATACCGAAACCAGACAAAGACACACAAGAAGGGAAAATTACAGGCC